CTTGACCATCACGATTGAGACTGATCTCACATGCTGTTCAACTGACCACAGCAATTGAGACTGGTCTCAAATGTGGTCAGACTGGCTATGATAGTTGAGACTGATCTCATAATTGATCACACTGAATATTATCATTGAGATCAATCTCATGCATGGTCTGGTCACAGCATTTGAGACTGAGGACATTTATCAGTCCGATAAATAGACACTGATTATGTGACTGAAAATGTGTAACTTTAGCAATCACAGCAATGATCTGTCATTAGAGATTGATGACTGTAGAAATAAAGGTCATTTCCTTAATCTCATTAACTTCATGGTTTTCTCTAGTTATCAGACAAATACATTAAAATTATGTTGGTACTGGTACTGTATCTATAAGCAGAAAAGCATTATATTTAAGACATCATAAAATTGAGAAAGGTATTGAAAACAAAGAGACTGAAGTTGCATCATGAAAATATAAGTAGGTAACAATCATTGATAAAAACATTTTCTCTAATCTCTAATCTCATGATCTTCAATGAGAACAGTTGTCTGGAATCTCAATGCATTGGAGGTAAAGTTTTGCATAGATGGTGATGCATAGATGACATCTCTTGCTACATGATAGAGGTGCTTTGGCTCCTTGTTTTTGCTGAAGTACTGGCTGTAGGCTGCAACGTAGATGGCATTGCTAATGTGGAAACTGTGAGTATGATATTCAAAGCAAGTGCTGATTGGCTGGCTGGCTAGCTAGAAGTTGTGAATTGTGATTGGTGAGAGTTTGAATTCACTTTGCATGAGGGCATATATATGCTATCATATACCTGTTTCATCTTTCAGAGTGAGTATAGCTCTTGCTCTCAGACACAAATATGGTCTTCAGCCCTCAAGCAAAATGTACTGTGTTCCTTGGACAAGACTTCAACTAAATTTGCAGCCAAAAATCGATGTCTGTGTCTGTGCAGTGGGCTGATTCCTCCTATATCATTCATATATCCTGTTTTGAATGGTGATACCCAGAATGCTGCATGACACAAAAGATCCATTAAGCAAAATCATTTTTCTGACAGAGTTTTGCATACATTTATCCACCTTGATATCTTCCTCTATGTGCCTGCAGGTGCCTATTATCTCTCTGCTTCACCACAATAGTGGCTACTGTTTACACTATCAGTATTCTACTTCAGCACTACACTAGGCTATGTAAAGTTCAGACTTAACACAAGACATAAGTGCTGGGACAAATGCTTGCTTACTAAGCAAATGGGTGATGAAGACATCCCTTCTTCTTCTGTAACCACCATGTCTGCTTTAGGCATCTGACCAGTGACCACTAGTGATATTGACATGAAGGCATCCAGCATCGAGGCTGCTGCTTTACCAGCCATGCAGAGTACTCAGAATTCAGAACATTTCTCACCCACTGCTTGGATCTCACAGATTGAGGTCCAAGATATGATCATTGAACATTTTTGCGGACTACTGCACCATGTCAGAAACAACATTTGAGCTCATAGAGATGAGGTCAACTGCACTATCATCTGATCCACTCCCATGTCCTTCACCAACAACTTCATTCAAGTTGTCACCTTGCTCACCACCACCTGTTGGGAGCTTCACACTGAACTATGTGCAGACCCTGCTTTTAACAGCAGCAACCCCAGCATGGAGGCCCTAAGGGTCTTTGAACACTTCTTTTTCAATTTCTGAAACAATCTCATCGATCTTATCAACAAAATTGAGCCTATGGCTGACTGAGTGGGGCAGCAGCCTCGTACTGACACCATTTAATCCACAGGCATTGACCTTCAGATGACTATCACCAAAGGAGTTGAGAACAGCATACACATTGCCATAACAGCCATCAACACAAGGCTCTCAGCTATTGAGTCACAGCTTGTCCATTCCCATCCACTTCTGCCACCCCCTCAAGTGCTGGCTGACCTGTGTGCTTTGCAATCGGCGTGCAGCAACTGTGCTCCACCCATTAACACTGCTTTGTGCCCCACTGGTGCACCTGCCCCAGCCATCACTCTGAAAGCTCCTATGATGGCACAGGTGGTAGCTGAAGTTCACGAGAAAAGCTATGTGCTCCTTGTTTACATCTGAACAATGCACTGCTATAGAAGAGGGTGGCACCATGCCTCAATAATACACCAAGCTCCACACCAGGCTAGTAGATGTCTGCCTGATCCAAAATAACTTTCCTCAGACTTCATTTTGCTGGACCCAACAAGGTCATGGCTACTTTCTCTGTTAAGTCCCTGGACACTTTGATCCTGGAGTGCCTTCCACCTATTCATCACCTTCTAGATGTTCAGCCCCATGCTCCCTCTCCTGCTCTAGGTCCATGAGATGCATTGGCCATCTCACAGGATTTCAGGCTGGTTGCTTCCATCACCAAATGTTTTGTCCCTAGCTGCCCCTTATGCTACCCTGACACTGGAAAGCTTCTGAAGAGGAGGTCATGGTGGAGTTGAGATGCAACTTTATGTTCTCTACTATTCACTTCAATGGCTTACTCATTTTTGTCATTCCACGAGAGCAGTGGAAGCAGCTGAGTAAGTCCTCCCTCATCATCTTTGTTGAGAATAAGCACCATGACTTTTATGCATGTAACCTGCTAATTCATGGCAATCACGGTAATGCTGCTGGTTTTCTCTGATTCTTTGATTTACACATGATGGTCAAGACATCAAAAGACTGACCTGTTCTGCATCAGTGCATGTGATGCTGGCACTTGACTCATCTTGAGAGCAAGTGCAAGAAGTGCACCCCTTACTGCTGCTATTGTGACGATGCAATCATGAAAATCACTCAGCTGACCCACGCTGTGACTCCATCCACTGGTGGCACTGCATTTGTGGTGAAAATGGGCATCGTGTGAGTTATACCTTTTGCCCTGCAGGGAAAGCCTACCACATCCCTATCTCTGCTACAAACCCTTCCTCATGAACATTACATATGTGCAACTGAACATGGCCTGGTCTAATCTGCATGTCCATGATTTCGTTTTCTTTTTTTATATGATCTCTATCTTCTCCAGAAACCATGGTAGGGGCAAATTGGCCTCAATGCTTTTCATGGTGCCAAAAACGGAGCCCCTATATATGGTCATGTCAATGTCCACCTGTATGGGCTGGATGCTTTCAACTTTGCATCTACTACTCTTATGCCACACCTCCAGGCCAGCATCCTGGTTTGCACTTCTCTCCTTTCTATTTATCACATTACCATGCATTCAGATCTCACATCGGACCCTGATGTGATCATTCTCCATTTTGTCTCTTGCTCCACCCCTTCATCCTTTTTCTATGCCATTAATTGCTATAATGAGGGCATGCACTCTCATCACCACATCCTTACCACTCTCATCACCATTCACTTTCCTCTCAAGGCTAACCTCCTCATCAGGGATGATTTCAATCTCCATCACCCCATGTGATCCTGGATGGGCAGAGCCCCACATTTGACTATTCCTGCATCTCATGTGCTCACATAATGGCTGATGGGTGAATACCTCACTATTCTCAATGATTTTGACCAGCTAACTCATATGGTCAGTGGCAAGCTCATATTCAGATCCATTATTGATCTGGTGTGCACGTTCACATCAAACACCTTTTACGTATATAGTGTGTCAGCAATGGCTGCACCGTTTGAACCTAACCATACTCTTCTACTTGCCACCATATTGCACACTGCCCAACCCATCAATGTGGACCTGGGTTTTCACATTGATGTTTTTAAATGTGAGAATTAGAAGTTCTGCTTCACATGAGAACTCACTCTCTATCCTCCACCCACTCATTATCACTTTCCTGCTAACCTTGATGATGGTGCACATGCCATTATGGCAGCACTGTCTACTGCTAACAAGGAAGCCTTCCTCCAGTGCACCCACACTCACTGAGCCTCCAAACTCTGATGAAATGATGCTTGTGACCCTGCACATGTGGCAGTGCAGGCTGCACCATCCACTGACACATGCAAAGCTGTGAAATAACACCTGTACCACACCATCTGACAAGCCTACCAGGAATGGTCCAATGAGGCCCTGTCAAGATTTCAGCACACTGATCCTTGTTACCCGGCATTCTGGATGAAAGGTTTGCGGCAGCTTCCACTGCCCATTATTCATTCTGAAGGTGAGGTTGGTGTCCTCTTCACTGATGCTGGATGCCTCCTCTCCCATTTTTATTTCTCTTCTTCTCCACCTCTGCCTGAGCTGTTTTCTATTTTCATAGCCCCTCTGCCACCTGCCCAGCCTGGCCACCCACTTACTGTTTCTGGGGTCATAGTGACCATTGATTCTGCATCTTACTACTCTACTTCAGGTGTCTCTGGCACATCCTGGTGACTTCTGAAGTGGGTCTGGCAGTCAGGTGCATGTGATACCATCTTTTCTTTTCTCTCTGCCTCTTTGCATCTCAGATACCTGTCTGTTGCTCTCTGTGAGGCAGCTGTGGTCTACCTGCCAAAGCCAGGGAAGGATGACTACATGGTGCCCAGATCCCATCACTCAATTGCACTTCTCGAGACCCTTAGCAAGGGGCTCAAAAAGGTTGTGGCATGGTGTTTCAATTATCAGATTGGTGCTCACAATCTTATTTCTGGTTTCCAGTTTGAGGGATGGAGCCACCACTCTATCATGGATGCTGACCTCATTCTCACTCACCATGTTTGCACTGCATGGGAGAATGGCTTCTCTGCCCCCCTGCTCTGCACGGATGTCAAGGGCTACTATAACAATATCTGTCATGATGTGCTCCTTCCCCCCTTCACTTCTTGGGCTTTGCTGATAATGAGGTCCACTGGACCATGTCATTCCTTTCTTCCCATTCCATTTAGCCCAAGCTCAATTCTGAGCTCAGCCCCACCTATTCAGTACTCGCAGCCTCTGCCAGATCTCATTGATATGCACTGAGATATTCTGTGATCAAAAAAATGACTGAAAAGTGTGCTGCCTATTGCACTATCAGATAGCAAGTCATCATGACCCAGGAGCATCAGAGTCAGAGCCAGAACAGTTCAAAGCAAGTGAAGGAGACTTTGCCAACTGTCTGGAAATGCAGGATTATGTGAAAAGGTCAGAAGGAGGACATGAGGTGTGGAAATAATGACAGGCTGTTGCGAAGCCTGGCCAATTACGAGATGCAGCATGATAGCGGAAACTGACAAGTTAGGCAACTCAGAAATGAGCAAGTGCACTAATTGAGCAGAACACCGATGTGCAGATCAATGGACCCTGGTAGGGCCAGGCTTTCCATTCTCCAATTGCAAAGTACAGAGAGAGAGCGGGAGCGAATGATGCGACAGGTTTGTTGGATCAGAAACCCATTGTATAATTGAAAACATGTTTCGGTGATCTAGCTGGTCCATTTCTGACCCATTATATAATCTATCATGTACGTAGAACCAATAACAAGAAGTTTTCCCATCAAGTAGTGCTCATGTCACGAAGACCCAATATCAGACGAAGTTCAAAGTGTCTTACTTGCTTATGTTGGATAAGGCGAAGTGACGAAGGTCGTAGACTATAAAAGGCGAACTGGACTTGTAGGGGAAGTCGCAGTTGCAGTCAAGTGTATTGAGTATTGACGAAGGTAGATAAGTCTGGGGGTGTAAACCCAGACGACCCCAGTATATATACAAGCAGGGTCAGACCCCTGATACACTGTCTACCGGGACCATGGACATGCCTACAGTGGGTCCATGTGAACGGTGAC